TGGTATGTGATTAGTTTCCTTAAAACACCAGATTAAACATGGGGCATAGGTAACATAAAATGGGACTGTTAGTAGCTTTGCCCTGGAGGAACAACTTTGTAAGGTAGGTAATTATTTTCTTTTTAGTAAGTGATAACTGGGGAAGTGTATATCATTATTGGAGACAGATTATTTTCTTTGTGAAATAATTTCAGGAATAACTTGGAGAGTTAATATATGTCTTTTTGTGGGGGGGGTGTTACTGGGGACTGAACTCGGGTCCTTGCGCTTGCAAGGCAGGCCACCGAACCGCTGAGCTAAATCCCCAGCCAACATATGTCTTATTATATAATTTTATTTTATTCTATTCTATAAAATCCTTATAAAATTATTTGAATTATTTATACTTTTTATCAAAAATGTGCTCTCTGTTGACCTTTAAAAAATAAACATGAAAATCAATATATTAGTTAATAATAGAGATAGTCTCATTGATAAAATAATCATGAACATACTTTCCAAGGAAGGAAATATGGGAAAGAAAAAGTACACGAAAAACAGTTGACTTAAAAGTGTTCTTTATGTGTAATGAAATGAAGTTGTGTGCTTCCCAAAAATTTAGAGAGTAGCACAACTCCCACTACTCTGAGATGCACTGAAAGCTACAAATGAATTAATTCTTCTGAATACAAAGAACAACTTGCTATTCATCTATAACGAAATAATTCAAAAAATAAAGCACATAGGTATAGCCACTGAAACACTAGTAACAAAAATTTTCAAGTTCTGGCTTTGTCACTCACACTGCTTTATTCCAGACAAAGCATATAAAGATCTTAGGACTCAAAAAGTTGAAATGTTCACTCAAAAATGGTTAAAACTTCTGCAAGGTGTGATGGCACACACCTATAATCCCATTACAAAGGAGACTGAAGCAGAGGATTGCCTCAAGTTCAAGGCCAGCCTGTGCTACATAGTGAAACCTTGCATCAACACCCGCCCCCATATTTTATTGGAGTCTGTTGTATGTAATTCTCTTGAAATGGGAATGCCTGCACTGGTAGAATGTGGAGGTAAATTACTTATGAATCAATGAAGAATAACTACACAAACTGCTAACAACTAAAACAACAGAGTCGTAAAGAATTCCTGTTATAACGGAAAAGAAAAAGTAATGACATGTAATGACTTTTCACATCTCAGAAGATAAAGCTAATAAACCCTTAAGTAAAGTTTACATTTACTTTTTGGCAGCAACTGGGAACATCTATTTATTTTAGCCACATATTTACTTTTGGGGGTTTATGCCTGATTCTATCACACTGTAACAGCTCTAGACCTCTTATTTTTTTTAAACAATATAGAGCAGTACAGAATATGAACTGAACATTAAGATTTATTCAGTAGTAAATGAACTTTTCTTATTTCAGTTTACCTACTCAATTATGATTCTCATCATAAAATACAATGTACATCATAAATTACCCATTTCAAGAAAAACTAAACAGGCCTCCTATTGTAATGTCATCCAGCATGAGCTTCCTCCATGAAGGTTTGTATTTCTAGCTAAAAAAATTTAATAATTAACTCTATTTAAGAGTTTATTAAAGGAACACAGAGAGAAACAGCGAGAGTTACACTTGCTAATTCAAGACTATCTGAGGTTCTAAATCTAAACCCTAAACTTGGCAATAACTCTGCAAGCAACATGAGCATCAGATATTCACAGGTCAGATCAGATGAGATCTAGCCTATGGTATAAGCTATATACTTACAAGATAGGGTATACTTTGCGCCAGCCTAATGAAAGGAAGCTAATAAAATACAGATGGTAACATCTTTTCTCTTGATTCTGTGTCAAGTACATGTCCAGTCTATTTTTCAGAAAACAGAATGAACTATTTTTCAACTGTGCTTTAGAATCTTATTTTTAATAACATAATTGCTTATATTTTATTGTACAACTCAAAAGAAAATACCCAGTTGTAAGTAGGCAACTACTATTATGTATTTGTGCTACAGCATAACATTACTTGCTCAATTTTGTTCTCTGTACCACTTGCAACTTCCTTCATAAATGCATTCATCTCACCCAAATTAGTCTCTCAGAAGAAAAAGTGAATATTCAAGACATGAGGGTATGTTTCAGCATTATGAGTTGATCACTCTCCCAAAATATTCCATGATGGAGGTCAAAGAAAAGTTATGTTGTTGGTTAAGAAGATAAAGTTAGAAATCTAAGACTGCTCAATAAATTTGATACAGGCTGAAAAAAAAAGCAGGAAAAAAAGATTATGGAAAGGATAATTATTAGAAAAGAAGTAAATATGAAAAATATAAAAGCCAAACATTGGAAAATAAGAATAATATACAGGTTAGAACAGAAGGTGAGGTATTTTCTAATAACCAAGTATTTTCAAAGTACCCTGAAATTTTTAAAAACAATCACCAACCAACCAATTAAAATCAAAACCAAATCCTCCTCTTCAGCCTTGAAAAGTATATTTTGTGTAATACAAATGGTCAATTCTGAATTTAACTGCTTTAAAATTTTGAATTCTCTACCACAAATTTTCATAAAATAAGGCACACATGTAAAATGTCATTATTAGAAAAGGTAATTTAAATTTGCTATTATCTAGAAAATAACCCTCTAGGCAAAACTCTAAAGGTACACTTAGCATAGCTAAAATTATATTCCCCCCAACAACCCCAGAACCGGGGATTGAATTTAGGACTTTGTGCTTGCAAGGTGGGCATGGCGCTACTGAGCTAAATCCCTGGCCCACTGAAATTATACTTAATAAGGGCATATACCATCCCTTTATCACCAAAGGCTGATTAGAAAATAATTGATAATTATTCTGTATGGGACATCAAGCACAGGTCCTTATAAAGTTCATTAGCAGAATAGCTTTTGTAGGCACACAAACACTTGTGATTCATTCCAAACTAACAATTCCCTTTTCCTTCTACAGTCCCCGTATTTAGGTCTATTATTATTATGGAACCATTATTACAGTTCAGTAGTTCCATCTGATACAGAGAATAGATAGTGGAGAACAGACTGAAGTTGTCTACTGTATTTCAAAGAGCAGGAAAAATGGCCAGAATTACAACAGAGCAAAAGACCTCAAAAAAAAAAAAAAAAAAAAAAAAAAAAC